ATCATTACTAATAATAATATTATTATTATCATTATTATTATTATTATTATCATCATCATTATTACCATTATTATTATTATCACCATTATTCACGTTGTTATTATTATTATTATTACCATTATTTTTATTATCACTATTATTTTTATTATCATCATTATTATTATTACTAATATTATTATTATCATTATTATTACTTTCATTTTCATTTTCCCATTTCCTTACTAAATCTGTCACTAAATCTTCAGGATTAAAATCAAATATACCTTGTCCTTTTTTACTTCTAATAATAAATTCTTCATCATCAATTTCTTCTTCACTATCGATCTGTGATTCTTCACTATCAATATCAAATTCTTCATTTAGAAATGCTTTATCATTTAAATGTATCACATTTTCAATATCTAATCGATTAATAACTTCTAAATGTTCTGATAAATTAATATTGTCCATTTCTAATTCAGCATCTTCTATATCTTTCATAGTATCTTAAAAAAGAAATGTTGCTGATGTTACTAATTTTCATAAATTATTAGGTGATGACTCTTGACCAAAAAAAATTAACTCATTTTTTATATTTGAAATATAAAAAGATTGAATTTGTACCATGTTTTGAATCTGAAATAAAGAAAGCTGTTGTTATTATTTTCCATATAGTCAACCTAAGGCTGAAAATATTCTTTCACAATTAACAGAATGAGGTGTAATTGAAAAAATTTTAATAGCTAATTTGCCAATAGATTTTGCACCAGTAGAATTCGTCATCACCATAACAAAGGAATATTATTTTTGAAACAATATGGCAAATCGAATCCAGTTTTTTTTCTCAAAATATTCGCATATAAGCTACAAGATTTACACATTCATATTGATTATGTTCTTCTTGTTGTCATTGTTGTTCATGTAAACCAATACCTAAATAATTATAACAATTAATATAATTATAAATATTCAAAATATTTATAAAAAAATAGATTAATAACTTTATCTTATATTTTAATAATCTGATTTAGAATATTTGTTTATAATTCTAACAAATCAGATTACTAGAATACAAGATATCATGTGTTAAAATTAAATTTCAAAACGTGATAATTATATTCTAATAATTTGATTTAAATAATTTTATTATTATTTAATTTATTATAATTAAATAAATTAAATAATATTAAAATTATTAAAATTAGATTACTAAATATTAAATTTTATAATTTTTATTAAATTTTTTTAAATTAATAATTATCTTATCACGATAATCTGGATGCAATAAATTTACTAATAAATAGTTATTCACATTAAATTCTTTTCGTCGTTAATTAAAAGATTGTAAGCAATAACTTTTAAAAGTATTATTTGATTATTTGAAATTTTTTTGATTGCAACTGCTAAATGAATAAGTTGTATAAAACAATCAGCCAAAGTTGTTAATTGTAACTCCAAAATTGTGATTGCAATTCGAATAGAAGTTAAAATTTTGATTAAAATCTTAAGATTTAAAAAAAATATGATTGTTTCAAAATTCTTTTTATATTTTAATTTGAAATTAAATCTAAATTATTATTTATAATCTAAATAAAAATTATTTATTTATTTAAAATTAATTAAAAATATAAAAAATTAATAAAAATTAATTAAAGTAATTTTTTACCTTAATAAAAGTTCGTTCAAGTCGATTAACTAATATAATACTTTCATATGCTAAAGTTCATCAAGTATTAATAAATTTTTTTAATCCACCACCAGAAATTTGTAATTCTTCAATTGCTTGTTTTAAAAGTACATTTAATTGATGTGATTTTTTAAAATATTTTATAATTTGATTATATTCTTTTACAAGATGTAAAGCAAATATATGTTCTATAAATAAAATAAAAATTAGTATAAAAAAATTTAATAATTAAATAAAAAAATTTAATAATCAAATTAAATAATTATTTAAATCAAATTATTAAATTATAAATATTATATTTTAAAATAATTATATATATTTTTTAAAAATAAAATTATAAATACTTACTAAGAATATCCTTAGATATAAGATTAATACAATGAGCTATACAATGTAAATTTAAAATATTTGAATGTTGTTGATGAATAATTTGTCATACAAGTTTTATATTACTGGCATTATCTGTAATAATAACTGTAAATTTATTATTTTCAACATCATCCAAAACATTATTTATTTTATTCTCAAGAAATTGACCAGTATGTAAATTCACAAAAAAATTATGAAGAAAATATAAATATTGTTGATAATCAGGAGTTAAAATAATAAAACTATAAATTGAATCACCATTAGATGAAGTCCATTTATTCAATGCTATTAATAATATATATTTAATTAGTAATTTATAATATAAATTGATTTATTTAAATAATTAAATATATACCTAAAGTTAAATTACTTGATTTATGAAAAATAATTTCTCATTTAATTGTAATTTTAGAACATTTTTGATCTAAAATTTGTCCTGACAAAGTTTCACTTGATGGTGGTTGATAATCTGAATACAAATTTTGAAAAAGATCGATAAAAATTTTTTCACTACTGAAAATGCAATATCACAAACTACAAAAGCCTTTAATAAAGAACTTCTATAGAATTCTTTCATCCTTCAGATAAATCACTCTCTAATCTATATGAAAAAAATCTTGTAAAACTAGATTGTTCATCATTTAATTTTCATTTTTTTAATTCTTTATCAAGACTATCACATTGAACTACATGAAGCAAGTACATTTACTGAACTTCATCTTTCAATTTAGAACAATTTAATGCAAGATGTGTCTTAAGTTTTAATAATTCATCTCTTGTCCATTTAGCTTGACAAAATTTACATATAGTCAAAAAGTGTTCAGGAGATTTGGTACTTTCTCGTATAAAAAACTCCCAAACAGTTGACAATTGACGTCCAAAAATTGTTTCATTTGATAGACTTGATGTAAAAATATAGATAGAAGAGGTTAAAAAGCTTATAGATTCTCGTTTTCTAATAACAGATATTTTATTTTTTTTATTTCATATTTTCTAATATATGTGAAAAGAAAAATGCATAATAGTAATAGAATTCTAATTTATATAACAACAATATTGCAAATATTGCAAATTATTTTGATTATAATAAACATTAATATTAAGTATTAATATAAAGATTTTTCTTATTCTTGAGAGGATTATTATATCAATATATAAGAAGTGTGAAAATCAAATAATATATTACATGTATATATATTAATACATGTATATATATATATACATTCATATATTTTCAAAAATGGTCATCATTGTTAGTATCTTAATTTATAAGTTAGTATTTTATTGATCAGAAAGTTTCGTTATAGATTTCATCATTCGTCATGGGTTTCATCATTCATCATATATTTCATTATTCGTCATAGATTTTATCATTCATTACAGATTTCATTATTCATTATAGATTTCATCATTTGTTATAGATTTTATCATTCATTACAGACTTTTTCAAAATGATTATAATGAAAGATTTCGTCAAATTGATGTGACAAAAAGTTTCATCATTGTCAAGTATCATTAGTATATATAATATGTATATTGTAAGTATTGTAATACAGAACAATTTTGATCTAAATATATAGTTATATAAAAATGGTAAATTAATATTCATAGTATACATATATATTTTGATATATGTATCGATAACTATCGCTATCATTGAAGTCATTTTGCTTACTATCACTGCTTTTATATTTTTTTCTATATCATTTTCACCACACATAATATTGATTTATATTTATCTCTTCATTTATTACAAGTAATACATTTCTCAATGACTTTTTTTTGTTGAGATTGTGCTATAAAATAAACTAATTTAAGAATACGATTTTATTGTACATATATGTGTATATATATATGTGTACTGAATTATATCAACTGATATTCTATCACTATACAAATTATAGCAATAGATCATTATCAAATTAAGACAAATACAATCTTCTCATTGAGTACGAGAGTATAAATAATATATAGTTTACTTGTTGTAACAATTTTCATATATCCTTGTAATTTCTTGTATCATGTTTATCCTTTTTCATGTTATATTTATCATTTTCTTGCATAACATGTAGAATTTAACACAGATCTACATTTAATACTTCTTAATGTTGCACTAATTAGATTAGATATGAAATATAGATCATATTATTAATTTGGATACACATTGTTTTTAATTACTTTTATTTTTATTCGTTCTTTTTCTTTT